TTTCAATTCTTATCGAAGTGAATTTTTTCTCAAAGCTTACATTATCCGCACAATATTCTTTTTGTCAAAAATCTATTAATCTCGTAATAGCTAACCTAGATTATGTAAACACAATATTACATAAGTAAATCAAACAAAAGAAAAATGAAAAACATATATATATATATATATTCTAATTTGCAACACACAATTGAGAGTTAAATCTCTCGCCATGGACAGCGGAATTTGCAAGGTTATAAGTAGACAGGATGACTATTTGGTATATTTTCGATGAAAAATCACGAAGAAATTATTTTCCCACAAGTTTTTGTTTACTAGGAATTTGCGACGGATCTTCCCTCACAAAGTTTTACTTTTTGTTTAGGGGTTAGGATTTTTAGTTGGGATTTGAATAGTAAAAATTTTGAATTTGAATAGTTGTATGATGTGATATAAATAGGTGTTGATGCGATGTTTTGAATGTAAAATTGATTTAAAACATGGTGAACTAGGGGACGAAGATGTTGGTAATGGCTTGAGGCTTTTTTTTTATATTTTTTTTTTTACTTTTAACCACCTCTCAGCCGTTGTTACCGGCAACGACAAGGTGGATAACATAAAAGAAACATATTTTAGAAGTTACCCATTGGAAAAATTTATTTGTTCGATACAATCTAGATGTTATACATGTTGAGAATTGAAGAACATGTTTAAAAATATCTTCAATATTATTACGGACATGAAGGGTAAGACCAAGACAATGCCAAGGTACATGTAGATATGAATCATATGATTATCTTTTATGACACAAAAGAACTTGAATATGATAATGTCCGATAGTTCTACCCTCTTTCAGCATACGCACCGGATAAAACCTATAGAAAAAAGATTTTATAAGTTTGGTTGAGAACTTGAAAATTCCCCGATGGATACACGTCCAAATTAGATCAATGCATTGACATGATGAAGCACCAGTTGTTGCAAATGAAAAGTCATGATTGTCATGTTTTTATGTAATGACTAATTCTAACTGAATTTCACGAGCTTTTGCCTAAGAATAATTTATCATACAATACAAGCATGTAATGATAATTTTTTTTATATGTCTAACCACACTATTAATAACTACCGTACTACACACATTCATTTCAACTCACCGAATAATCAGTTTCAAAAATTATAAATTTAATTTAAAATTAAATTTTAATCGGTTAATTAATTAACTGATTTTTTCAACAATCCCCCACAAGAGTGGAAATGCCCATTAATTAGGACAACACATTGCTTAGTTCTTGAGACATCGACACATCGAGATAGGTAGCTTGTGGCTTTGAACCTTCCATAGTCAATATTATTGTATATACCGGTGGCCTAGTTGACACGATGTATTGAACAATTCAACCTTTGTGTACATTTTAATCAATAATATTGGCAAGTCGCTATCTCAACTTCATTTTATTCTCACGTTTTGATATGTTTCGGCCATGGATCACATCTTTGGATTCATAAGTGTTTCTTTAGAAGCGGCCCTCGCTTCACACTTATATAGGTAATTCTGTCTTAAAGTATCCAACTCTACTTTTAGGATTATTAAGAGTCACTGACTCAACATCACCACTTTGCACATTGAAACACTCGTAGCTTTTCAGGGAATGGTGATCGAGTGTTCATGCTGAACTATTCTAGCTTAGTTTTCCCATTAAACAAAGGGTTGGGATCTTCAAGTGATTTGGTTAGGTTACTACTGTAATTGTCTCTTAATTTTGTAGATTTCAGATCGCGAGAATAACAAATAATTATCAGAAAATAAAATTCGATATCAAAATAATTTATCGAAATAAATTCGATAATCACGTCAAGTCGAGGTAGAACCTCTCTCCGTAAAAACGAATACGTCCCGGTAGTGTCTCCGGTTCGTGACGCAACGTTTCCAAAGACAAAACGACATCATCTCTGAATTAGGTGGCACCCCAATATTTCGGAGCTCCGGCAAATTAAAATAAGGAGATTTCTAGCTATATCGGAGGCTTATATAAATGCAAGTGATTGGAATATTGACCGGAAACTTCGTCGGATAATATTTCCAGAAACTTAGAGAGGAAGAGGAAGAGAGAGAAGAAAGAGTTCTCTCTCCGTTGGTGTGTTTTGAGAGGGTATAGAGATGGTCTTTTATAGGCACTTTCACCCTTGGAGTTTTAATGCCAAGCCGAAATCGTCGGTCATAATTTCGGTAACATCCGACAATAAATACCAAACTTAATTCTACTCATAAATATAATGATAATTTTTTTATCCGGACAGATGGTATGTGCATATGTGGCTTACCGTTATTGACATTTATATGTCTAACCATACTATTAATAACCACTTTACTACTCACTTATATTCCAACTCACCGAATAATCAATTTCGAAAATTATAAATTTAATTTAAAATTTTTAATCGATTAATCAATTAACCGATCTTTCCAACAATCTTTGTATAAAGTCTAGTTCATTAAGTTTGGTTAGGCCATCTCTAATCCATCAACTTTATTTATCCAGTTTTAATTTCAAATATGCAGTTGTTACAGTAATTTTACTTCAACCATAACTCTATTTTCCCCTATTATTCTTCAAATATTCAATTTTTCTTATTATTTTAAACAATTTTTTATTTTTATAATTTTTAAATAAATTTTTTAAAAATTTAAAAAAATAAAAATTAAATTTAAAAGTTAAATTTATAATTTGTAAAAAATAAAATAAATAAAAAAAACAAAGACACCATAAATGGCGTTTGCTACAGTGCAACACAAAAAATAGTGTTGCAATTGGCGCTGAATTGAAGACCCGGGGCGGCATAATTGGAGTTGCAACGTCAATTTTGACGTGTGGTTGGAGATGGCCTTAGTATTATTAGAATGAATATGTTGTTACACATTAAAAATAACTCCACAGAATATTATTGGAGTTGAGCCAAACTCAAGAACGAGAAAACTCGATCCATCAAAACGTTGCCCTCCAAACGGCAACAAGTCGTCAAATTATTAGAAAATTAATTATAAAATTATATATATATATATATATATATATGGATAACGCGTTGCCTCCTTGTGTTAAATTAATGGAGTGAGTGACGGACAAGTCACATCCATCGTCCATCCCTCCCATGTGAGATCAGTTCAGATCAGAGGGATCTTCACATCACCACTTTTGTCCATATACACACTAATATATTATTATTATTATTATTATTATTAAAAAAGACAACATGGGAGGTGACGACTAGAATCTAACTTCCACACACACACACATTATCGTCCTTTGCTTTAGCCAGCTTTGTTACAGCCAATTTCTTCCAGTGTCCTTAATTTTCTCTCTACTTATATATATATATATATATATATATATTGTAGAGTATGGCAAAAACTAACGCGGAACTTCGATATAGTAATACAAAATAGATCGACTAGGATTTAGCCTTTCAATTCGAATATGACATAACAATTCAATTATAATACTCCCTCCGTTCCATAAGTAAGTATCCATTTGCTTTTTGCACGTAGTTTTAGAAATATTAGTATTATATTTGGATATAGTAAGAATAAAATAGAAATGACTAAAATAACATGTGATATAAATGTAATGGCATTTGTGTAATATATTGTAAGTTGTAAGGATATTGGTAATATTAAGTAGATAGTACAATTACTATAAAAAAAAAAAGAAAAGAAATAGATACTTTGTTATTGGACAAATGGAGTATATTAATACTAATTTATTTATTATATATATAATAATTTTGCTATAATAACAATTCATGTATTGATTTAAATTGAATTCAATCATAAATAACTTTATGATTGGACAATTCTGGCACAAACACAATATGAAAGAATTAGATTTGGATAAAAGAATAAAAAAATTACACCTTGTTTGATTTTGAAAAATCGAGTCTGATTCTATGTTATAATTTGAAGGAAAATTATAAAATTGTATTATTTTAAAAAAAAAATAAAAAAAAAAATACAAGAGTATATATACTAGCTAGTGAATTCAAGTCTAAACTAAGACAGATAATATCAAATAATATCAAAAATATATTTATATCTAATTAGGAAAATATATAAATCTAACACACCTAATGATATACTTCGTCCGTTTAAGACTAAACTTCTCATTTACGTTTTATATGTTGATCTTCGAATATTAATTGTTATATCAAAATATAGTACAAATTAAGAAAAAATAGCTAAAATATTTGTATTAGTATCACGTAATACTAATATAATGACATTTGCACAACAAATTATACAAATATAAATATATTTTTAATGTTAAGAACAATGATGCAAAATGTAAATGGAAATTTAGTCTTGGACACTTCCTCCATCCCATTGAAAGGTTGTCATTTTTCATTTTCGTCCGTCCCAAAACAAAGTTACAATTTACTAATTTAATAATTGTACTATTTATCTGCCATAATAAATATCATTCTATTTTACACTATATTACACAAATATCATTAATTTTATATTACACAATACCAGTAAGGTATTTTTGTCATTTTCACTGCAGCTCATTATAATACTAATATTAAAAAATTTACATACAAAAAATAAACGGCAACTTTGCACCGAGACCGAAGGAATATATATATATATATATATATGTGCAAGTCAAGTCTATTGTATTTTATGTTTGTTTCTTTAGAAATGTTTCATTCATTCCTTTGGGCGGCCCACAATAATAATAATCAATCAATCCTGCTGGCTGGCAATTACAGGATTCCACCCATCCAACTGCTATGCTGATCTTCGGACATGCCTGCCTCTGCCAGCCTGGAATCACACTTCAGGACAACCATAAAGTGCACACAAACACAGGTTCTTCTACACTTTCTTGCTCAACATGTTTCTGTTTCTTTATCTACACATTTTAAAATAATAAATTTTATTATTTCAACTCTTTATCTAAATAAATAATAATTTTCAAATCAAACCCTAATTAAAATAAAAAATAAAAAATAAAAAAAAGACGAAAGCAAGAAACTGTAAGTAAGAAAAACCATGAATCATGTTGTTCAATCAGTCACATCTCAGCTGATCTATTCGATCAATACAACGAACAAATTAAAGACCAAACCAAGTCAAGTGGAAAAAGAATAAATTAAATACAAACATCATCGATCATCCTCAAAGTTCGATTTCTAAATACACAACCATGTAGATGTAGTGTAAGGACAACTACTTACCTTGCTCGATCGCCAATTTCCATCCATGTCCGAATCACGACACCCCTTCTATCCTCCACATCATCTACAATCCGTCGAATTGAACGTGTCGGCAAATCCCGACGGCTTCGACGGGATGCTCGACTGCGACGTCTGACTGTAAGACAAATCGTCGAACATTCTAGAAGTCCCTTCATTGGCCTGCCATCTCTGCAGGGCTTGAGGAAGGCTCATGTGGAGGTCGATTCCGTAGCCGTCGTCTTCTTCCGGTTTCGACGGCTTCCACTGCTCGACGAGCGGTCCCAAGACGTTCACGGCATGTCCCATGTCGGGCCTCTGGAAAGGCTCGCGCGCCGTGCAATGCCCCGCCAGCTCAGCAGCCTTGCAGATGCTCTCGTAGGTCTCGTCGTCGGGGTCGAGTATCGGGTCGATCGACTTTCGGAGGCTCTCCTTGTTGATGAGGACTCTTCTGAACCATGTCACCAAGTGAGATCGCTCGTCCGGCACCGTCTCGTCGAGGGCCCTTCGACCCGTGATGATTTCCATCAGTACGACTCCGAATGCGTAGACGTCAACTTTCGTCGTCACTCTTCCCGTAGCTGATGAAAAATAGACATGATAAGAGAATTCACTTTGAGATCTCATAAATTATGTTTCGGCATTTAAACCCTTTCAAGACTATAAGCTCTTTCCCGGAGTTTCCTAATTCATCGTCACTTTTAATATATAATCAATGATGTATATACTACCGTTTACGTAAAATGATCATTTAATATGATATCAGAGCAAAAAATCTAGCTCGCGCGCAAAAATTAATACCATTAAGCAACGACAAATGAAATATATAATAATTTCTAAACATAACCTACTTTAAAATACCAAAATTGCTTTTCTCCCTATAATCTAAATTACTAGAAAAGTTTCTACAAATAGTCTCATCAAGGGTTGAATCTAAAGCATAGTTCGATCGCTAGTAAACGTTCATAACATAATCATAGCAAGAATGCGCAATAACCACAAAAAAACAACATATTTGTAACGAAAATTAGGGACAGTTGACGTTAGCTACGTGAACTTTAAATACAAAATTTAATAAATTTCGTCTTTAATATCATTAATAACAGAAAAAGTAGAATTAGGGACAGAAATTTCATTACAAAAATATTATTTTGTTATAGTGACTCTAAAATCATCCACGGATGCTCATTCTAGGTAGATTTTGTAGCAAAAATGGTATTTTGTTATAGTGACTCTACAATCATCGATGAAGGCTCATTCTAGATAGATTTCGTAGCAAAAGCGCGAAATATAACGTAAAATCAAAGCAAGCCAAAGCTTACCGGCGTATTCGGGCGCAAGATACCCAAACGTCCCGGCCAACCGTGTCTCAAGAGAATACTTCCCGTCGGGGGCATTCTTAACCAATCCAAAGTCGGCGACCTTGGCTCTCATATCATCGGAGAGAAGTATGTTCGACGGTTTCAAATCCCTATGAATAAAACTTTGTTGAGCCAAACTATGAAGATACTCGACACCCCTCGCCACATCCAAAGCTATCGTCACCCTTTGCTTCCACGTAAGAGGCTCGTATCCGAGCTCATTCCGCTCGAACAAGTGTTGCCCTAAAGTCCCTTGCGGCATGTACTCGTAAACCAATAGCCTCTCGTTGTCGTTGATGCAATATCCGAGAAGCGCCACCAAATGCCGGTGCCGGACTTTCGTTAGGACGGCGATTTCCGCTTGGAATTCCCTCATCCCTTTCGTCCCCATCGCGCCGGCTTCCATTCTCTTCACTGCTATTTTAGTCCCGTCGTGCAACTCCCCCTTGTACACCACCCCAAACCCGCCCCTTCCTAATACATTCTCATTGCTAAAATTGTTCGTCACTTCCCTAAGAACTTGTATCGATATCGCCACACTCCCGCCTTCGAACACGTTAATTTCGGTATGATCGCCCGCACTCGTTTGGCTTTGTAAATCACTCGGAACCCCTACATACGATCCGTTGCCTCCCCCGTCGCTTCCGTTAGGCTTAACCAATTCTTTCCCTTCCTCGACCCGACCGAACCTCTTGTGCCGTCTCTTGACGAAACACTTGTAAGAAACAAACAAAACTACGGCTACAAACACCACAACGGCTACTACAATCCCGGCAATTATCGCGCCCGAGCTAGACCCTTTTGATGAGTTATTTGAATTCCCATTTCCACCTCGGGGGCCCGGCGCCCCACTTCCACCGCCACCGTCGACAATGTTAGTACCGAGCAACGGATTGCCACTACTAACGAAATTTACCCTTTCCGGGAACTTCGGGATCGGCCCAGATAGATTATTGTTTGAAACGTCGAAACTTTGAAGCTGTGGCAATGTAGTTAAGACATCAGGTATTACGCCTGTGAGATTATTGTCACTCAGCACTAAAGTCCTCAACGATGTCAGATTCGCAAACGCCGGCGAAATGGAGCCGGAGAATCCCTGCTTCCGGAGGTTGACGATGGTGACAATCCGGCCCTGTGAATCGCAGTTAACCAATCTCCAATCGTTGCAGGCGTTGTTTCCCTGCCAAGACTCGGCTAAAGTCATCGGGTAGCCGAGGGCGGCGGCGGCGGCGAGGAGCGCCGTCACCTGCGGATCGCAAGGTCCGGGAGTGTCTGAGCAGAAGCTGTTGGTGGTCCCGATGGTGGCTTTTACTCTCGCCGGAAAATTGGGATATGGGCCTTGAAGCTTATTGTTCTGCAGAGTGATGTTGACGAGATTGGGCAAGGTCATGAGCGATGGCGGGACGACGCCGGTGAGTCTGTTGTCTCTGAGCTGTAAATCGAAGAGATTTGTGCATTTTGAGAGATCGGGAATCCCGCCGGAGAAGGTGTTGGCGTGGAGCCAGACCTGGGAGAGCTGAGTCATGGTGGAGAGGACATCGAGCGTGCCGGACAGGCCTTGGATTTGGTTATTGAGCCAGAGGTTTTGAATCTCGGTGCCGGAGAAGGATTCCGGCAGAGATCCGGTGAGGTTGTTGTAGGAGAGCCTGAGATTCTGGAGGTTGGGGAAGGAGGCGAAGATGTCGGGAATGGCGCCGGCGAGGCTGGCGTTGCTGGCGAAGAGGGAGACGAGATTGGTGCTCTGGGTGAGGTAGGATGGGATCTGCCATGGCGGGAGGCCGCCGTTGTCGCTGATGCTGAGAATCTGGAGATTGACGAGGCCGGAGAGGAAGCCGGCGGGGACGGCGGAGAAGGCATTGGTGTCGAGGAAGATGGACTCGAGGGAGGTCATGTTCTGGAAGGAGGGGAGGGGGCCGGAGAGGGAGTTCTTCTGGAAGGCTAGGGTTTTGAGGTGGGAGAGCTGGGAGAGCTCCGGCGGGAGGGTGCCGGAGACGGCGGCGGAGTCGAGATTGATGGCGGTGACGAAGGAGGAGGTGGAGTCGCAGTTGATTTTGGTCCAATTGCAGAAGTGGGTGGTGGAGGACCAGCCGGGCGGCGGCGGGGAGAGGGAGGAGAGGAGCTTGGACATGACGGCGGAGTCGTCGGCGGGGGAGAGGAGGGGCAGGAGGAGGAGGTGGAGGAGGAGGAGGAGGGGGCGGCGGCGGTGGGTCGTCGCCATTGGGAAGGGAATAGGGGAATTGGTTTTTTTTGTTACTTTCTCTCTCTCTGTATGGCTTTTATTACAGAGGTGGAGGTGAGAGACCGCGGTAATGTCTGACCACATTGGTTGTCTTACTTACGGCAGAGATAATTTGTCTGTGAAAATAATTAATCTATAATAATTATTATAAATTAAAATTAAAATAATTAATTAATTTAATTCAAATTTAAAAAATAATAAATTTAAAAATTTAAAATAAAATTAACATTCTTAATCATTATTTATAAAAAAAATAATATAAGATATAAGACAGATAAAAACAACAATATGAATATAATACATGAAACGGAGGAAGTAGTAGGGGTGGGCAAAAAAATCGAACCGAACCGCCGAACCGTTGAACCTAACTGAATCGAACCGAATTTTCGGTTAACCGAGCAAATTCGGTTCGGATACAAATACTGCATATTTGATATTTGCTCGGTTCGGTTCGGTTTCGGTTTTTGATATGTTTTTCGGTTCGGTTAACCGAACCGAATATATTTATATATTTATGTTATTATATTTTAAAATTTATATTAATAATTATATTCAATTCGGTTTCAGTTCGGTTACAGTTCGGTTTCAGTTCGGATATTTGAAATATTTGCAAATAGTTTGATTTAATTAGAATTTTAATTATTTTTTAATATATTATTTTTTTAATTTCGGTTCGGTTCGAATTATTTGCGAATATTGCAAATATTTTCGGCTAACCGAAAATTCGGTTAACCGAAATTTTCGGTTCGAATACGATTCACGGTTTCAAGTATTTGTTCGGTTCGGTTCAGATATCAAATACCTGTATATTTGAAAATATCCGAACCGTGCCCACCCCTAGGGAGTAGTACATAATATTACTATAATAGCACATTATAATCCATTCTTCTCATCTATTTGCTTTTTATTTGGAATTTTAAAAATATTAGTATTATAATAAAATATAATAGAAATAAAGTAAAAATGAATAAATGACTTTATTAATATTGTGTAATATAAATATAATAATACTTGTATAATATATTGAAAATTGTAAGAGTATTTCTAATATTAGATAGATAGTACATTTATTAAAAAAAGAAATTAATACTTTGTTACGAGATATACCAAAATAGAAAAATAAATATTTTGTTATGAAACGGAGGGAGTATATGATAATATAATATTCCCTCTGTCCCGTAGAAAGGTTACAGTTTACTTTTTGTAAATAGATTTTTTAATATGAGTATTATATCAGTTATAGTAAAAAAGACAAAAAAACACTTTTATTAATATGGCGTAATATATAAAAGTAATAACATTTGTGTAATATAGTGTAAATTAGAAGATATTTATTATGTTAAGTAGATAATATAATTACTAAATTAGGAAATGGTAACATTGTTTTGGGATATACGAAAATAGAAAATGACAACTATAAATAACCAAATTTATCTTCTTTTTAAAAAAATATATTATACATTTTAATTACATTTAAAAAATTCATAATTTATAATTTTTTATTTCAATTAAACTATTTAGTATTATAATCTTAATTTATAATTATTTTTAGTAAATCATAATTATATTTAGTAATACATTTTTTAATTACTTATTAATTATTCAATACCTAAAACTCATTAGGTAATTTAAAGTGGACAATTTAAGTAGAACTGAAAGAGTATAAAATATGACCTAACAGTACATATTAATAGTCTCATATCGTACATGCAACAGTTAATTTTAGCAAATAATATATTATTATACAATACACTTCTAATTATAAATAAACAACACATGTCTTTATTATACACAACATATGTTATGTGTAGTAATAGCATGTGTTTATATATATATATAATGTATGCTAATTTTTTAAATCAGCACCGTAATCATTCCCACGACAATTAGTAATAGTAATTACGTATATAAATTATAAACAAACAACGTATATTATGTAAATAATAGTGTGTGTTTCTATATACTCCCTTCGTCCTATAACAAAGTATCTATTTTTCTATTTTAGTCCGTCTCATAACAAAGTATCCATTTTTTTTTTTTAGTAATTGTACTATCTACCTAATATTACAAATATCCTTACAATTTACAATATATTACACAAATATCATTACATTTATATCACACCATACTAATAAGGTTATTTTAGTCATTTCTACTTTATTCCTACTACATTCCAATATAATACTAATATTTCTAAAATTACGTACAAAAAATAAATGAATACCTAATTATGGGACGAGGGAATATAACTAATGCTAATTTTTCAAATATAATTATCCCTACGAGAATTAGTAGTAGTAATTACGTATATAAGTTTAAATTAATTAAATTTAAATTTAAAAGTGAAAAGGCAATAATAATGTTTTCAGGGGGCTGAGCTGAGGTAAGTTGAAGACGACATTATCATGTTACTTAACGTTGCTGTCTTCGATGCCATTGATTCGCCAAATAAAATTGGATTCTTTATTTGAAGATTTAATGATTACTTTTGTTTATTGTTTTTAGTTAGTTACAAGCATCTTTAGATGTGTGTTTATTTTTTCTTTTTATTATTATTATTTTTTTTAAGTATTTCAATTTTTATTATTTGTATTATGAGTTTTCTAATAGACGTGTACTATCTCCGTCCTACATTGAGTATTTTGGTTACGGTAGATAAATATAATTAGTAGATGATTAAAAATATATTAATGAAAACAATTAACATATAATATAAATTATTATAAATTAAGATTAGATAACTAATTAGTTTAATTAAAATTAAAAAAATTAAATTAAAAAATTTAAAATAATATTAAGATGGATAATCATTTTTCGAAAAATGAAAGTGACATAAAATGTGGACAGACAGAAACGACAATATGATAAAGAGGGAGTATTTTTCACTCACAAATATTAATTTAAAATAAAATTTTGCAATCCAAATACAAAGTATGAAAATTTGTGATTGTATTAAAAAATATTATTTCCATCTCAATTCAAATTAATATTTTAAACTTTTGTAATAGAGTGATAAATAAAAAAATATTGTATCCGTGAGTGAGTGTATAAAATAATATCGATATTTTTACTCGTTTAATTTTATTTATAAATTAATTTTATGTATAATAATAACAAATTTGTAATTTATATAAAAATTAGAAAAACATTTTAGTTTTACAGTTTATTATTTTTACTTTAACTGAAAATGAACATTTTTTAACGTAGGACGAAATGGTAAAATAATACTCTCTTCGTAAAAAAGAAAAAATGATATTATTGGTATGAGAACTAAAAAATAATAGTATTATATTAATAGTGAATGTAAAAATATTTTTAAAAGACCAAAATACTTTTACTTTATATAATTATTGTGAAAAATAGAGAATAATTTTGTAAATATATGGGGAACTTGTTACAAAAAAAAAATGAGAATATTGTTTTGAGACAGACGAAAATAGAAAAATTGAACTATTTTTTTGGAACGGATTGAGTACTGTAAATATTCAATTATTGAATACTTCCTTCGTTTTAGATAAAACGATCACTTTACTATAAATACGAAAATTTAAGAAAATTATAATTAGTAATAATTAAAAAATATATTAGTAAATATAATTAGTGTATAATATAAAATAATTATAGATTAATATTATGATAATTAGATAATTTAATTAAAATTAAAAAAATTACAAATTATAAAATTTAAAATGTATAATTATGTTCCAAGAATAAAATAAATAAATTATATAGAACAAACCAAAATAAAAATATTGAACATTTTATGTAGGACAAATAATACTATTTTTTAGAATGATGTCTATTTTTTAATTTTTTTTTTTGCTTGGAAGAACATAATTAAAATTTTCTTTTGTGAAATTTTTAAATTTTGATTATCAATGTTGTGATATTGTGTTTTTTTCTTTTAGAATTTTGGTGTATGTTTTTTTAACTATGAAGAAACTTTAAAACAATATTATTTTCTTACACTTGTGTTTTTTTTTTTTTTATAATGTATTTACATATTTGTTCATCCAATATTTTTTGTAATACGATTTTTTATAAATATTATAAAAAAATATAATATATACACTTATATTACCACTATATATAATATATATTTTTTAATTTGTTCAAAAAAATTAAAAATTAAATACAAAATATTATTTTTTATATTACCTATATAAATTTTCATCCAACATAAAAAAAAAAAAAAGAAAAAACAAAACAATTTATCCAAAAACAATAAGTAAACAAACCCTGTAGGAATATTAAATATCGGATAATATTATATTTTTTTGTATGAAAATATATATTAGAATATTAAAAAATTATATAAAAGAACGTCTTTATAGTTCATATTACTTTTATTTTAAATATTAAAATGTTATTTCATCCGTCCACATACAATGTTTATATATTTCTATTTTGGGACGTCCAATTACAAAGTTAACATTTCATTAAATATTTTACTTTTTTCTACAAATACCCTTACTTTACATCACATCTTTACTTTTACACAAAAAGAAGTAAAGGCAAAAATGTCATTACACTACTTTTAATTATTCACGCCAAAACTAAATGTAAACTTTGTAAGTGGACGGAGAAAGAATTATTTTCTTTAATCTCTATCCATCCTATAGGCATAAGTTCAAAAATAAAATTTGTTTTAATTTACTTCAATTTTATTATAACTATTTTTTTAAAAATCTCTTTGTCCAGTCTTACAGGCATAAGTTTGGCAAAATAAATTTTAAAAATAAAATGTTTTAATTTATCTCAAGGATTATATACTCAAATTTTATTTTATTTTTACATCAATGGGGAAAATTTGCTACAGGAATACATGTTAAATCAGCAATATAAAATTATTATTATTATTATTATTATTATTAATAAGTATTCTCTCCGTCCTACTTACCGTGTCTATCTTTCTATTTTTACATGTCTCATTTTAATTTCATTTTAAAATTTTTAATTTAATTTTTTCTAATTTTAATTATACTAATTAGTTA